ATTAAATTAAATCCATCGTCGAACTCCAAAGCTTGGTATTGGTGGTAATGAACAAAATTTTTGAAGATCATTGAACGTAACATCTGAAAAACATAAATAACAAGATGTGTTTGTGAAACACTGATGCCCCCGTATGGCAACATTGCGAAGATTAAACTTTTCTTATATACACATTTAATATATTGGTATCCAAAGTAGGGTATTCTCACTCAAAATACAATTGTGAACTGCACGGTTCTCCATGAGCTGTTTTACTGTGTTGCTCCTGACACAGTAAAATTTTCTCCGACACAGTACCGATTCAAATTCTATGCATGCAACACAGTAAAAATTTTGCCCACACAGTAAGATCTGTGATAATTAGAAAATTTAAACACACACAAATTATCTCTACCTAGACTTTAATAAGACAATTATATCGTCTTTCAGTTATAAAAGTTAGAGCACTTAAACACTAGGGCTTCACCTTATCTCCTAGACCCTCACCGGACTTTACGCATGACGGGACAAAGACAAATAATTTGTTTTCACACTTCTATGTACGGGTTTTTTGATAGTTGCAATAAAATACATTATATTATTTTTTTTTAATAATTAAATAATACTTTTCTATAGAGTCACGGCCCTAGAATTATTTCAACACTTCAAGTCAGACATAAGGAACATAGTAACGAAGTCGTTTAATTGATATAAATAAATTGCTTAAAATTTTTAACATAATGTCATGTTAAAGGAACTCGTAAAATATTTTACTGTTCTGAAGTTTCTTTTTAATGTAATGCGATAACTCAATCAAGAAAACTGATAAATCATCACGGCAATTTTACTTTCAAAAATGTTAAGTAGTACGACTGTCTCGGTCAGAATTTCCTCTGCTTTTAGGAACGTGTTTTTTTTATTTTTATCAATATGTACGACCATACTATTAATTTTGTGTAACTTATTAGCGATTTTTGAATAAGTGTGTGAATGTAATCTTTTGTTATTTTCATAAAAAGTGATTAAGTTGCGAATTTGATCGCGAAAATACCGCGAAATTTTAGTTCTTCACGTTAACTCTGCAACACAGTAACATTTCAAATGATGGAGAAACCTGGTGAACTACTGAGTATGAAAGCTTTTTCATAAATACGGAAATCTCCAAGGTTAAGATAATTTGAATCCAATGAAAGGTCATGCCACAAACAGTGACAAAGAATACATACTTAAAGTGTGGAAGTCCATGCCCAACCCTTCAAAAGTTATAGCCAAGGTTACCAATTTTAAAAAGTATATTAAATTCCAAGATCAAGGTCATAAGGTCTTAATTCTTGATATCAAATAAAAGGTCTTGACACAAGGATTAAATATGAAAAGTGTGGAGGCACTAGCCCTTAGCGTTCAAAAGTTATGATCAAGTTTCATTTGTTGAGAGTATGTCAAACTCAAAGGTCAAAGTCCTAGATGTTCAATGAGGGGTCTTCTCACAAGGATTACATATGTGAAGTATGAGAGCTCTAGCCCTTAGCGTCCAAAAGTAATGGCCAAGGTAAAAGTTTTTTATAAGCACGAAAATCTCTAGGGTCAAGGTCAAAAGGTCAAGGTTATTGGTATCTAACAAAAAATAAAAAAAGATCAAAGTCAAAGCTAGCTGCAGAACTGTAGCTCTCTGCTTGAGAAAATTCGGATAGATAAAGCAGAGAGCTACAGATCCAAGCGTTGTAAAAACCTTCGATTTACGCCGACGATTTTTCGTCGCTACTTTAAGTATTTTTTTCGTGTAGTTTAAGCTTTCTCTGGCTTTTAGAATGGTATTCTATAATAATTCATATATTTAACTCTATAATATTTCACACTTTATTTGCCTTTTAACGGCCCGAAATAGTCCTGTACAGAGTTTTGTAATGTCAGTTTAAAAGAGTTTCCTTTCGACGTCCGTGACCACAAACAGCCATTTGTTAGCGTTTAGAGGTAAGTAAATCATCAGGAATTGAAGTTTATATATGATTAATTATTAAGTACAATTTAAAATTAATTGCAAAGCTGTGGAAATTACAAAATACAAGAAAAAATAACTCTAGTGAGCGACGAAAAATCGTCGGCGTAAATCGAAGGTTTTTACAACGCTTGGATCTGTAGCTCTCTGCTTTATCTATCCGAATTTTCTCAAGCAGAGAGCTACAGTTCTGCAGCTAAGTCAAAGCGTTAAATGTGGTGGTACCTGAAAAAGTCCTTACTCTTCAAAAGTTATGGGCAAGGTTAATGTCTTTTTATAAGTAAGGGAATCTCCAAGGCAGAGGTCAAAAGTCAAAGTTTTTTGTATCCAATGAAGGAAAGATTCGGGGGTAAAAAAAATTTTTGCCCAGTCCTTCCCTCCGTCTGTCTTGTTTTTCATTTGTCCACATAACTTCAACCTTGCCATAACTTCTGAATGAGTGGAAGTATAGCTTTCATTTTTTACAGGTGTTTTCCTTGTAACTTTAATTACCAATAATTTTTACCTCCTGACCTTTACTTTGGGGTTCGACAGACTTTTACAAAAATGACAAACACAAACCTTGACCATAACTTATGAACAGTAGTGCTAGAACTTTCATACTTCACAGGATTTTCATTGTGAGACCTTTTTACGGGTTTAAAACAATAAAAATTTAACTTGACATTAATATTTTACCCACTTTTTAAAAAAACTTTAACCTTGGGCATAACTTTGAACATTTAGTACAAGGGCTTTCATATTTCACATATGTATTCCCCGTGATGAGACGTTTATCTGAATACCAAAAATTTTGACTTTATGACCTGAAACATGGATTTTAACTTTCAATCTTCAACAATCGCCATAAGCAGCCATACGGGGGCATCAGTGTTTCACAAACACATCTTGTTTTATTCAACTAACTAACCAAGACCTTCATTCAGAAATACATTAGTTGGATCAATCTTTTATATGAATACAACTATTGCCTGGTTTTCATTTCTTAGAAACTGGCTATAGGTAAGGGTCAATTTGATCAGCAGCTATGTCTAACTTTCAAGGAATTCTGTGGGTAAATATACACTACTTTGTAAATTCAGATATATTAATTTTCTGCGAACATTCTTAATTATGTATCTGCTGATTTGCTAAACCTGGGGATTGGACTTTGGTAATCCAACCTAAACTAAAACATTGCGAAAGGGATATGTCCTTGTAAATCATAGCTGTTATATTAAGATTTTTGCCCTAACTTAGTCCCCATATTTTTTCGTGTGGTATGCAGTGCCGTTAATAAATATCGATAATTTATACATGTATAATAATTATAACATAAAATGCAAACGTATTTGGCAACCGATTAGACCATTCATGAATACGTTTATAAAGTATTTCTTTTGATACATCCGTAAAATACTGACATGCATTACTATGATTTTATGTATTTTCACAATCGCGGTAAAGCAAAAAAAAAATTTATTGTTTTTTATTCAAAATTATTGTACAACCATATTCAAATTAAACAATTCCTTTAACTTATTTACCTTTGACGAACTTCAAAATATCCCCCTTTGAAAATTAAGTTTATGTTTTCTATAGCTGCACAAATAATTATTCCATCGATAATAGACAAATTATTCTTCCAAATACATGATCAGACCCAGCGACCTTAAATCAAATTTATGTTTGTTTATTGCCATGGTGCATTTTAAATACGTATTAATTATCATTGATGAAATAAGAAGAATGCTTCCAGTTCATTGATTTACAATAAAATAGTGCAGTTGGAAGACTGCGAAAAGGTAGAAGACCTCCATTTAGTGATTTTAAAAAATCATTTGATTCATAGGTGTACATGTTCAATACACAGTAATGCAAAATTGTAAAGCTTAAATGTAAATTAAGGACGTTCGATCCTGATATTTTGAGCGTATTTCGCGCAGGTCCTTTATTCATAAAATTTAGCATCATTTTTAGGTTCTAACAATAAAACTGAATTCTATAATGCAAATTAAACTATATTCAATGAAAAAACCGCGATTAAATTCCATTCAAGTAGAATAAAGCTAGGGACTATTTTGTGGCGGAAGGTTTTATAGACGAAAATGGTCAGTTTTTTCCATTTGAACTATAACAGTACTGTTAATTTTGGATGCCTATTTTTCCATGATGGTTGCACACAGTTGTTTTTTGGTTCTGAACTATCTATTAAATTATTTCTTATGAATTCTATAAGCAAAGTGTGACAAATATAGTAAATATATTCTGAAAATCCGGGAAAAAATTGAGCCAATTTTAACGTAAAATTCACACTTTTTTGGTAATATCTGAAAATGTACATCATATACCCCCACTTTTGATGTTCTTTTCTAAATATTCAAGATAACTTTGACCTATTTGCTTAAAATCAGAAAATGTTTAAGACTTTAAAATAGTTTTCTTGCCTATTATATTTTCAATGCCGGAAAAAATAACATTTCATTAGTGCAGAAAGGTCAAATAATTGATTATGCGGCGCAATTTGAAACTTTTTCTTAGTCAAAATTTTTTAGTGTCTATTTTTAAACATACTTAGAGTTCATTTTGTTTTATGCTTTAATTGGATAAAAATATTGGAGGGAATACGTCGAAGATGTAATTCTTAATTCAAACACAAATTTCAGTGCAGAAAGGTCATATTAGATGTACTGTAGCGCTAAAAGAAGCATATTGACCCCCATTTTTTGATTTGAATTTTGATTAAGCTATGTATGTAGAAACTAAAAATATACTTGGCAAAAAAAGTTTAAGACTTTAAATATCAGGATCGAACGTCGTTAAGAAAGTATTTACACAAACCAATTAATAGTTAATAATTACTGGCATAAAAAAACATTCATCAATAAATGCAATATCTTACTGTTACTGAAGGTTTTAGTGCTCCAACTTCTGATTGCGTAGAGAATTCCATGACAATAAACTATCATAGAAATATCTAAGCAAATCTGAAGATTTACCTACTGCTGGTTTTTATTCAATAGGTAATTTCTGGCACGCGCTCAACGTAAATACTTTACTGACAGTTGCTATCTTCCTCAGGCTCCTCAAAGAATCGTCTGAGAACATAAATTGAACTTTGGTTTATATGATGTTCTTATTCTAGGATTTTTTTCGAAATAATATAACACAAAACATCATCAGGAATATCTCTACGTTTTTCAAAGCAAAGGTGGGTAATTTATCTACGAACATTTAATTGAAAGTAATATTTTTTTTCAATATTAAACTTTAAAAAAATTTACTGATTATCATACTTTAAGAAAAAGCTCTTGATGAGCAACTATAATTGAGTTAAACATTATGTAGGAAATAAGTCATTATGCTAAAATATCATAATGTTCTGTTATTTATTTTGATCCTGTCGTGAAAAAAATGTTCAAATGTGTTGTATTACTTATGTGTTAAATGCTTTGTTCCATTCGGACACGTCTCGTCTTAACACCAACTGATTGTTGAGTAGCTGAGAAATGTTTCAATAGATTAGGCAAGAGATGGAAAGCTATAGATGATAGTTTTCAGTTATGCTGTGTATAATATTAATATATCCTCAAAAGAAAAAAAAAGAATATAAAAGAATAGCAGAACAAAATTTTTCAATTTATTGGGACAGGAGGCACGAAGCATTCAAGGGACGGTTGCTGGTTGCCAATTTTTTTTTTCTTGCAGTGTAGTCAAGTAAGAGAAATGTAGTACTTAATGTATATTTATAAATCTAAATTTGGTTCTAAAACTGTAAAAAGTTCATATCCGATCACTTCCCCTCCCCCTTCACCCCTCCTGAACACAGACCCTGACACACGAAATAGGGTTTTCAAATGGGGCAATTTTTGCTTGTTAAGTTAGTTGAATTCTTCTCTCTGACTGCTCCCTAACAAACACAATACTACTGTAGAATATTAAGCTCGACATATAACACGGAAATAGCAACTTGAAACATAAAAAAGTTACCAGTATACTGCTGTATATAAAAAATTTACACGTCACGACGGAGGAACGTCTTAATGCGAGAAGCATACCGGGTAACTCATCAAATTAAATAACTAACTGTAGCTGGAGATCAAGAATCCAATTGCAACTTCTTATGATTTGCCTTTTGCACACACCTGATAAATGATCGAATAAAACTTGATTATTACTACTTTATATAACTTTTGATATTTTTTTTGTCTAAATGGCTTATTATTATTTCTGTCATTCATTAAAACTTCAGAACTCTGGTCAGACTAATTATAAATAGATCCCTGTAAAAAAAATGTCGATATTAATGATTCAGTGTTGTAGTTGGTCTTTTTAATGCATATTGATTAATTCTTCGTTTCGTAACACGTGATCTCTCCTTATCCGAGGAGGAGGAGGAAGAACGAAAAACCTCACGGTTTGTTGAATTTTTTTTATTTTAAGATGTCCATGCTTTTGCATTTTTGTGCTGTAGAATTCGAAGAATTAATGAATGTGTCCTATGTGAAATTATTATGTCAATATATATGATGTGAATCCTTTAGAGCAAAATATATATTCAGCACATAGAATCTTTTTTTTAACTTGGAAGAAGACGATTGATTGATTGATTGTATACTGTTTAACGTCCCTCTCCAGAATATTTCACTGATATGGAGACGTCACCATTGCCGGTGAAGGGCTGCAAATTTAGGCCTATGCTCGGCACTCAGGGCCTTTGAGCAGGGAGGGATCTTTATCGTGCCACACCTGCTGTGACACGGGGCCTCGGTTTATACGGTCTCATCCGAAGGACCGCCCCATTTAGTCGCCTTTTACGACAAGCAAGGGGTACTGAGGACCTATTTTAACCCGGATCCCCACGGGGCTGGAAGAAGACGAAATAACAATGGAAGAAGACGAAATAACAAATTAAAAAGTCAAGAGAAATCCCGGTGGGGTGGGGACCAAGCACTCCTTCAATTTTTAATGAACTGTTATGTATTATTTTTCTTTTGACTCATCGAAGAATAATTTGAGAACCCAACATTCCATGCACGTTATTGATTGCAGAATCCCGACTTGGTAAAAAAATCGATTACCCTACATAAATTGTATTCCAGTATCTGCTTCAAACTCATTAACGTTTCTTTGGCTTTGATTTCCAATTATATCTTAATCAGAACTTTATCAGTAAATATTTACTTATTCTTTCTTTTATTTTATGAATTGTAATATGCACATGCCGATTTCAAATTGTAGACTTTAAGATAGCAGTACTCTCATCAGTTTCTGAATTTGTCATGCTTGAATCAAACTAATCTAAACAAAACAATTAAATATATTGCACAATATATTATATGAATGCTGTAGATCACTAAATTTTCGCGACACTGTTTAAATCGATATGAAAAATATTTCTATTTATTCGTGAGACAAAATTTCAATAGTTGTGGCTACTGCTCTACCTTATCTTGAGGAATATGTTTACGCTAAAGAATATCGCGAGCACAATGAATTCTCGTGAATAAAATGATAAGCAGTACATAGAAGTGGGATAAAATCTAGTACAAGCTAAGCAATATCATAATTGAAGTCCATAAAATGTGTTCGAACATGTCCACCTTTGATAACTGAATGGTACTATTGACTGCTGTTTTCGCGCTAAATTGTTATGCTATTGTGACAAGCAGCCATTGTCGGATGGGATCGGTAAATAGCTAGGGACTGCTTGCTTCCAGATGAATTATTCCATTTCTGATGTTTTACAGGTCCAATCACTTTTTTTGAAATATATAGAGATAACGAACAGTATTCAAAGCTCAAAAATCCATAAAATTTCAAAGTTTGAGCAGAGCAAACATGGACCATCAAAACAGGGTTGGGATCAGGCGCCATGAAGGAGTGAGCATCCTCGCACCTGCCGTGTGCTCCTTGTCGTAAAATTTTAATAACGGACAAATCCGTCGACAATTCGGGGTGTAAATAATACTTGTACTATCATGAATTTATATTGCTCCAATGGAGTGTTGAGTGTTTACTGTTCCGTTATTTTCATATTTCATCCCCCCCCCTTTTCATATGCAAATTTTTCAGGCAATTTAATATTTGCAGCCTAGGATAATATTTAAAAGAACGATAAAGAGCAATTTCTAAAATAAAAAATAGCAGCCTTCATAAACTTAAATGTCGGCGATGAACAAAGACTGCACCAATTTAATAGTAGGCACAGAGAGCATACACACTCTATTCCTAAAGACTGTCATCTCTTTAAACTTGTATTAAGTGACAATTTTCTCTCACTGAGACATAGGATCGAGGTTTATTTTAAAATTAATAAATTATTCAACTCATTGCATTGCACTTATGGATATCATTATGATTATTACTATTTCGGTATCAAAAAACTTTCAGAAAATAATGACCCATAATAAACATTGTCGACTTAAATAAAATGAAGATGAGGAACAGTGATTGGTCTAATTAAGTACAGGTCTCTGTAAGAATCAGACAAAAGGTGAATCATGAGGGTTCTCAGAATTCGATGATTTTTCACACATAGGTTTCTCTTGCACTATGAAACCCGTTTGTAAAATGAAAATTATTTTGGGTCCTGGTTACTATGGAAACATTGCCAAAGAAATTTTCCCTAGCAACCAGTCAATTTTCCATGTGAATTGTCAAATATATCACTAAACTTAGGGGCTTGAAATTGAATGTGTACATTACCAGAGGGGTTATTAAATAATGTAATCATACAGATAAATATTTAAAGTGATAAAATCATGTAATACATAGAATTTTTATTTTAAGATATTTCTTTTATAGGCAATGGAAAATATGCATGTTTTGCACTTTTTGCTGATTCAGCATTTTTGTTAATTTTGACAATTTTCAAGGCCATATATCTAAAACTTCTAGCATGATACAAGAGTATGGTATATTTTACATAAAGGCCGAGGAATATCCTTTTTGGAATTTAAATTCAAAAACGTGTGTTTTTTAATATTTACAATCGGTTGCCTAGCAACAAAAATGGATGTTTTGATTAAGAGAAAGAGACAAATTGTCAAATGTGCGAGTTATTTATGGAATTAAATCTTATCGGTGGATACCAAAATCAAATTTTAAAGTAAAAACATATTTCCGAGACTTCTTTATGAATCCAGGAATATTTTGCAAATACTAATTGCCATGGCAACAGAAAATTCTCCATAGCAACAAAGGAAATAAATCCACTTTTGACATGCACTCATGTACTTTTGTAAAGATTATTCAGTGATTGACAAACCACAGTGATTTAAGAGCATCGGGACATTTTACTGACTTTATTAGTCCCCTACCTGTATAAGTGGAGGGGACTATATGTTTCCTCTAAGTCTGAGCCTGTCCCCATGTCTGTCTGTAAGTCTGTCCTACTTGGTTTTCCGCACTTCTTTTCTAAACGCTTGCGGATATTGAGCTGAATTTCGGCATGTGAGTGTATCTTGGTGAATTAAAGATCTAGTTTGAATGTCGTTACGCTTCATTGATTTTTTGATAGATTTATGGCATTTTAATTTTTTCATAATGGGTTAAGATCGGGTTCGTGTTGCGCTAAATTCCAAAGGTCAACATGGTAAATATGAAACCAAAAGGAGATGTTGAAAAAATTTGTTGAATTTCCGTCTTTATGTGGATTATTTTTTTTAGATTAAAGGCATGCATAACCTCAAAATTTTAACAACAAACACTTTTACCTTGGTCATAACTTTTGCATATTATATATTATGACATCCTAAAGTAAAGGGGGAACCCGGTAGGGGACATGCATTGCTTATATAATTATCTCAGAATGCTTATTAACCCATGGCAACAACAATGAGCATGAAGCTATCATGAACAGTTTTTAAGCGCCATCATCTATAATGACCTGAACATTTATATAGGAGCTGTACATGTGATATGCACTGTATCGGAGTTTCTTAAAACTCTCTTTAAAGTCTTTGACATTGTTATTGAAAGTTATGCAAAGAATTGGTTGCTATGTTTCATTGTTACCATGGCAACATGTCATAAATTTTGAAAAATGGCATTTTTAAAAATGTTCAGAGTGTACCAAAACAAACAAGTGACAAGGTTTCAGGCCATAAAAGTTTGACGAGCTTTTTTTCCATCTTAATCTCACAGTGAAAGGCTGAAATACAACAAAATATTAGAGAAAATGCTTGAAACATTTTCCAGGTTCGAAAT